TAAAGCAAGCGTTACTTGAAGGCAAACAAATTGAAACTTCATGTTATAGTCTTTTTTGCTTCAAATCGTAATCACTTCGCTTATGTAAAAAAGCAACAATTTCATGCTTAAAAGACAGGATATTTTAAATAAGTCCAGTTTCTCATACGATCAAAAAAATGTACTTTACGTACAAGATTTAAAACATTGTTTCATTTTACTGTGCAGTGTTTAGAGTGTAGCTGAGATGGGCTGCCAGTCATCCTATGCGGTCACATCGACGCTTCTGCAGGATATTTATAAGCGCTGCTACGTACAAGAAAAAATCGTTCAAAAACATCTAGGAACAAAACCTAAAATGAAAAATTACTCAAAATAAACTTAAAAATAAATATGTTGTCTGTAATTCAAGTTCCTTTCTTCTGATAGTCGAGTCACAACTATTTCTTCAATGTTTATATTTTTGTGGAATGAAGATGTTCTGAGCTATGATAAAGCTCCTTATTTTTGAGTTGTACTTGTCAATTTGTAGCTACGTCCTATTTACAAATGTGGTTTTTGACACTTGCTTACGCGTTAATGTCTTTGCAAATAGGATACGAAATCGTTCAGTTTTTCAATGTAATTCTACCATAAAGTGACACCAGTATATACCATAACATAGGTGGACCTTTCCAACAAGAATTAAATGGATATATTTCTTAATTGTATCTCAGTAAATTCTGCCAATTAATCTATTCGCTTGAATGCAAACATAAAGGCTTTATATTTCAGGATAGGATGCATTGAAACAAGTTCATGCAAATGTGCATTTCGAGGAGCGCAGGTTAGAATTAGCAAACCTGCACAATGCACAATTGTAGGCAAGTAGCTTTCATCATAAAACAAACATTAGGATTTGTCGGAGACAAGTTTTTTCAAGTATTACAAAAAAAACAGAACTATATTTATAAATAAAATACTTAAAAAACTTTTTTAAAAACCACGTTTTTCTTGTGGATTAAAAAGTAGAAAATAAATTATGGCTACGAATTTTGGAAATTTGATGGTGAACGTACAGCCCGACCCACTTTTTTTGGGGCGAGCCATAATTTATTTTCTACTTTTTAATCCACAAGAAAAACGTGGTTTTTAAAAAAGTTTTTTTTAAGTATTTTATTTTCTACTTTTTAGTCCACAAGAAAAACGATTAAGACTTGATTAAGTATGGCTTGACGTACGTATCGATGATACGCAGCGTCAGCGCCTGCTCGTCTATAACGTGAGCGCCCGCACGTCATACTATATATATAGTATATATATACTTTACTCAATTAAGCTAATTTAGGTCTCAGAAGTGGGCTCTCATCAGAAGTGGGCTAATTTTCGTTGTCAATGTTAACAACAAACAAACAAACGTGAAGCTGAGTAAAGAAAAACGTGTTAAAAACAGATCAATGAATTAGCAGTGGTAAAACCTTTAAGTTGGTTACATGTTGTTTTGTACTGCTTGTTAATGAAATAGGAACAATTTTTAGGGCACTTAAATAATTGTCGCTAAAGGAATTGATTATATTTTTTTCGTTACTTCAAATTAATTAAAACAAAGGTTTACATGGAAAATTCCAGGTACATAAAATTGCGCATAAAATTACTCACTTCTATCGAATGGACAACGTTGAGCAAAGCACGTCTTTATATGATTCCGTGTAAATTTCTACGTTTAATAATTAGTGTTTGGATAATTCGGCTTGTTTCTGTTTGCGTATAACTGCTGAGGTATTGCTGCTATAGCAATACCTCAGCAGATGTTACCTGAGCAGATGTTACGGTGCTCAGTCTACCATAGAAGCGAAAAAATTATGATTTTTTATAGCCTCACTCAATCATTTACGCCGAAAAAGTTATCCACCTACTCGAGCCTATTACATTAAATTAGAAGCATTAGTGCGATGGTGGAAAAGCAACAAGGATAGCAAAAGGTAAAATTCTCTTGGATTGAAACCCATATTCTATTTTAAAATTGACAAGAGCTTAACTAAATAAATTACTTCTAAGTACTATTTTTTTATTAGAAGAAGCTAACAGTGATGTGAAGTCATGCAATGGCAGGCCATACAATGCCATTGTCGCCCACCCACACCATATGGGTGGTCGCTGAGTGTGAGGGTGAGACTGTGGGCAATGTGGGTGATTACACTGATTACACTCCAATGATGACACAGTTTAGGGCCCTCGTTCGTACAGGCCAGCAATTAGCAAGCAATAATAATAAAGCCAGCAATTAGCAAGCAATCGTACTTTACATCATCTGGTTCAAATGAGGGCATATGCGCGGTGGTCACATACAACGTTACCTAAGACTCAGAAGGCGGGGCGTCCTGCCTATATCGACGGCTTGAGGGCGGTGGACGACTAAGGCGGCACATCGGCGTAGCAGGCTGACCCAAAATGTGTAACCCGGCGCAGCAGGTTAACCCTACAGTGTAACCCAGCGCAGCAGGTTAACCCTACAGTGTAACCCAGCGCAGCAGGTTAACCCTACAGTGTAACCCAGCGTAGCAGGTTGACCCAAAATGTGTAACCCAGCGCAGCAGGTTAACCCTACAGTGTAACTCAGTGCAGCAGGTTAACCCTACAGTGTAACCCAGCGTAGCAAGTTGACCCCTACAGTGTAATTCCGCGTAGCATGTTGACCCCTACAGTGTAGCTCGGCGTAGCAGGTTGACTCTACATAGTATAAGGGAAGGGGCTCGCAATAGGGTTCGCTTTATGTTTGCTTATCCCAATGCCGATCGCTTATATTATCGATTTGCTTATCGGCTAAACTTTAGTCAAACAAGCCAAGAAAATTCAGACTTTCTACATGACCAATAACTTTAGAACACTAAACACGATGACATGGAGTGCGCGGGACCTTTTTATGCTCATTTGAGGCTAAACAAGCCTTCAGCAATACCGTACGTAGGCAGGCAGATAAAAACGAGCTTCTTTTACGCTAGTCATCCCATGAAGTCATGTCATTTATAAACTCTGTATTAATTGGGCCATAAGAGACCAATCACTGGTAATGTGGCTAGAGGAAATTCATATATACTCTTTTTTATCGTTCAGGATTTTTTCCTGAACGAAAATTTAACAATGTATTCACTTTTAAAATAAAACCCCTGGTGCAGGCGTTTTTTCTTATCGTACGACAGATGCTGCATGACATCTGACTTGCCAAAAATCACCCATTCTCACAGAGATGGAAGCTGGCGTCGCTTCTGGACCACAGATTTATTTATGAATAATTTATCCTAAAAATAAACACGATAAAAAAGTATGGAAATTAATGCAAGTTATGAAATGTGTATATAATACAACTAAGTTGTTGACTTTCAATTCCTTAAATTTGAATTGATCTGTCGAAAAACATTTTCTAGTATAATTTAAGCATTATATTGTGTACTTTTGTATTGAAAAATGCTTCAATTATTTGTGCAATGACAATTCATACTTCATTGCTTTGGAAAATTAAATTCTTGATTAGCAATACGCAATACCTGATGATGAAGTTTATTTGATAATAGTATACCCTCTGGGAAATTTATTGCATATACATGAACATTGTTCACAACTCAACAAAAATACGTAGTATCGCCCTTGTAAATACTGCCTAACATCCCCCCCCAAAAGGAAATTTTGTTTTGAAGCGAACATTGTCATCAATTGTTCCCTGGCAAAGTGTAGTCTACATTGCCTCGAGAATCTAATGTCCAGATTACGATTTCCTGGTCAGTTATTGCCTTGTTCCTGTTTTGACCTTCCCGTCCTTTATTCCGTGGTCACTATCATGTCTTCTCACCGGCGCGAAATTCACGAAAAAAACCGTCCGCACGTTTTCGTTCACCGGAAGAGAACTCGGCAACAGAGCTTCTGATACAGCACGTGTGTTGTGCATTTCCTATGGAAATTATTCGGTGGTTTAAAAGAATAAGGAAAATATTCGGCCGTGGACCCCCGATCAGGTTTCTTATTTTAGCAATTTCTTGGGGCCAATGATGGTAATCCAGCAAGATGATTGAATTTCCTGGTGAGATTGACTTCCATGCGATGATGACGACGCATTTTTTGGAAAGGGCAAGTTAGAAACTAAGCAAAACTTGCTCCCGTCTTGTATATAGGTCGGATAATTAATGCCACGGAAAGCATTTTATTCATGATGCTTTTTCAAGAAAAATCCTGAACATTTACGTGGAATGAATTGAAGACTTCGACGTGGAACGAATGGAATGACGTGTAATAAATAAAATCTTTTTCTATAAATAAGAAAATATAGTAACAGCGTTAATAATTTAAATTTGTGGGATTTATTTATTTATTTATTCTCCAAAATTTACAGTGAATGACATTGAAGGAAGTTGCAGCCTCTTCAAAACTTTCATCATGCAATACAAACCTACGAAATTAGAATGAACGAGACTAAAACATGGATAATATCTTAATAAAAGGTATTGACCATTTAAAATAACAATTTAATTTTTTAAGAAAAAAGTAATTGTGGCCGCAGAACTTTTCAGTTATATTAAATGATTACATGGGTGTGAAATAAATTGGAAATTCTTTCAGATATTGCCGGTTCATGGCGATCAGGCGGTACCTACGTTGTATCCTGATGTGTGATAAATAAATAGTATCTGAGCTCAAATAATTCTAATCCATGACTCGTATAAGATTTAAAAGAAAGATTCAAAACATCTGATACATTTTGGGATTAAGTACGTTGAATAGTTTTACATCGAATCTGGAATATGTGTGAGTACATTCACCTGCAACGTCTGCGAGGTGTATATAAAAATGTAAGACAAAATATAAACCATTCAAGCAAGACGCTTCCTCCCTGCAAAAAAAGCCACATTTACCCAATGGCCCGATGCACTTTCTGCAGAGCCGCACCGTCACCGTGCCAAGTTCAGCCTTCTATCTCCTCTGCACTTCGAATTTTCGGAGGTCAGAGTCGGGGCTTTAAATACGACGCAGGGTCAGGCGATGTCAGTTGAATATTACACACCTCCTGAGAAACATGGTGAGTTCTCTAGAGCGTCTAGAAGTCCCGAGTGTTGAGAAAGGTTTGGTGAAGATCATGTTAAATGTTTAAACTCCACGGAACATTTATTGACTACTTTCACAGAATTTTTCATTATTTTTTTCCATACGTTTAAAAATATTAAAACTCGTCATGCACGATAAATTTTTCTATGTTAAACTTTAGTGCATTGCCTTCATCACTTTTCAAAGAGTTGTTAATGAGGAGACTGGATGTTTAAGACTCCCGTAGATAATTTGTTTAAGTGATGGCCCCGATCGTTCGGCGTGCAAAATTAACAGCAGTTTGTTTCGTGTATCTCGATCGCCAGTGAAAATTCTATGTTCATCACGTGACCCAAAGAAATCCATGACTTCTTATTCAACATCATTATTCTTAATTTTATTTTTCTTGTTCAGGCTTGCTGTGTATCCTTCATTTTGGGATCATCCCTTTTGATCGCCCTCGTGGCCGGTGATGGTGAGTTTTATTATGAGCTAACAAATAAAATTTTCGTCTCATTAAAACGAAAAACGTACATGTTTACCATAATAATTCGGGGACCGTTACACAAGTTTTCGTCAACTCGTTGCTAGAGTAAAACGCGTCGAACTTTCATTTCATTGCAATTTTTTAATGATATTCGGTGATTGTTATACCAGGCAGTCCACAAGATTTTCTCATACGAGTCGCATTGGCAGCGGAGTGATGTAATATATCGTTATAGCTTCACTTATTTTGTTACCTGCAGGAATCAAGGGAGGGTTTGGCGGCGGTGGCATCGACGGTGGCTTCGGAGGCGGCAAACTTGGTGGATTTGGTGGTGGTGGTTTCGGAGGTAGTTTAGGAGGTGGCAAATTTGGGAGTGGATTTGGAGGTGGTGATTTCGGGGGCGTCGGAATCGGAGGTGGTAAACTTGGAAGTGGTTTCGGAGGTGGTAAACTTGGAGCTGGATTTGGAGGTGGTGATTTCGGAGGTGTCGGAATTGGAGGTGGTAAACTTGGAGGTGGATTAGTAGGCGGGGACTTCGGTGGAGTCGGACTCGGCGGCGGTATTGGAGGAGGTAAACTTGGCGGTGGATTAGCAGGCGGAGACTTCGGTGGAGTCGGACTCGGCGGTGGTATTGGAGGAGGTAAACTTGGCGGTGGATTAGTTGGTGGTGATTTCGGTGGAGTTGGACTCGGCGGTGGTCTCGCAGGAGGTAAACTTGGTGGTGGTCTTGCAGGAGGTAAACTTGGCGGTGGATTAGTAGGCGGAAACTTCGGTGGAGCCGGACTCGGCAGTAGTTTTGGAGGCGGTAAACTTGGCGGTGGATTAGTCGGCGGAGACTTCGGTGGAGTCGGACTCGGCGGCGGTATTGGAGGAGGTAAACTTGGCGGTGGATTAGTCGGCGGAGACTTCGGTGGAGTCGGACTCGGCGGCGGTATTGGAGGAGGAAAACTTGGCGGTGGATTAGTTGGTGGTGACTTCGGTGGAGTAGGACTCGGAAGTGGTTTCGGAGGGGGTAAACTTGGAGGAGGATTCGGCGGCGGAGGCTTTAGTGGTTTCGGCGGATCTGGATTCGGAGGTAATTTTAAGGGATCCATTGTGAGGGGAGTTCCCATCCGACTCAGCCACGGAGGTGGTTTCAGCAGCGGCCTCGGCAGCGGTTTCAGCAGAGGTTTCGGCAGCGGTTTCGGCGGAGGTTTCGGCAGCGGTTTTGGCGGAGGCCTTGGAGGCGGAAAATTCCATTGTGAGTGTTTATTTCGATATTTGCAGAAGCATTAAACATAAAGTACACTAAAGGATAACCAGAATATAATGAAGTTAGAATTGTTGAAGTTTTCACAAATATCATTATACTGAAGCGTTTCTCATTTATTTATCTCGTGCTCTCAAGCTTAACGATTACATATTTTTCTGATGCGTAGTGAAAAACGTAAGTTTAATATGCACTACTTTCTGTTTCAGAAACTTCTCATCTCAAGAGGTGAATATCGGACTTTCCTTCTCTCTGAGCGCTACACTGCTTAAAGAAAAATTAAAAGCCTTTATTTATTCACAATGCATTCAGTGTGGATTAACTATCGATTTATAAAAAAAAACATAAATTTGTTGTTTCATTATTTTTCCCAAAAATAAAACGATATTTTACGAAGTAGGTAATTTTTGCCGAAGATCCACTGCAGAAAACATAATCGTTCATCACCACCAGCGTACCTCAAATTCCATCACTAAAGAATGATATTCGTTAATTACCAAACATTATTTAATTATATGCAACATCAAATATAAAGTTACATTAAATTAGACATTATATTCATTATGAAATTGAATAGTAATAATTCCTACTTTCGATAAGATCTTTTTCATGAAACTAATTGTATTCGGTATGCTGATGTTATGCAGAAGGGTTGGCAACACACGCACGGTTGACCAACGATGCTTCGATGTTGTTCAACAGATCGCCCCGCTATAGGCGCGCTGGACTGTTGCTTCACTCAGGCGTGCATTCGCTACGTTGTAACCGGCAGCGCCGTATAGCTTCTTCAGTCTTGAGCATTCACTGCACGAAAATTAATGTTGTTCACCAAGAACTGAACTCGGTTCATTGTTCGACCTCTTCTGGTGCAGATTTGTTGATTAACGTGAATAAATTAACTGCAGTCTGAAAAATATGTGCACAATTGTTAAATATTTTCTAAACATTCTTGTCGAAATTTTAGTGACAAAAAAGATTGTGCAGAGCGCACATATGCTCGTTCTGTTTGATAGTAACGTGGAGTAAATTGATTATTTGCATTCAAATATCACGATGTTCCAATTAAATCCAAATTAAATATCATGTTCCAATTAAATGCGGTTTTCTCTTTCGATAAAGTTTGCTTTCAATTTTCTTAGTAGAATATGTTCATGAGCAAAAATGAAATGATAAATGAATATACTAACAGGAATAGTATTTATTTAACGGAACACATTTCGTTTTGCGATATAATTGCACACATAATTAAGTTTGATTAGAAATTAGGGCCGCTTGCTGAATTAACAAAAATTAAATTTTTATTTGCCTTACTTATTTTTGTCTGAAATATAGTTTAAATATTTCTCACAAGTGTTTATACTATACACAATTATTATCTAGTTATGCAATATACAAGTAAAATTGGTTTATACAACAATACAATTGTATTATATTTGTTCACCATGATCCCAAAATGATGGATGATACTTAGCCCCATGGTTGAACTAATATAGTTCAACCATGCTTAGCCTCACACTGCACGCGCCAATGTCCTTATTGGAGCTTAGCTTGGGTTCCGATTTTTTTTTCACGTAACTGCGGTCACAGAAAAGATGCATAATAAAGTAAGATGAAGTGGCGCCATGATTGTTGGAAATTCATCTTGTATTCTGTTCTCCATGAAATACAAAAATGGTTAAACGGCACTTTGCTTTAGTGGAGGTTGTACGAGGACATGATATTATGGAAAGTATGTGCCGGCTTGTTTTAATGCCTTATAAAGGAGAAAATATTTTTCTCGATGATTGACATGAGGATTTAATTTGCAGTCATTTGCAAATTCGATAAATAATTTCTTAACTGCTAAAATTTTTTATATGTTGAAAACACACATAGGAGTCTGTGAAAATTCACTTAATAAGTTTTTCATGTATTCGGAACATGTGATGATAATATGGTTTTAATATGCTGCCATTTAGTATTTCCATCTTTATACATTTGTAAAGTTAAGAGTTCGAGTAAAATTGTTTGGATATTTTGTTACCAAACGATCAACTTGATGGGCTGAGTTAAGCGCAAAGAAATTACGACGTCATGAGGTCTAATGATTTTTAACGTTAAGCCTAAATTTGCAGTTATGTACTAAAATATTCAGAAAAACAATTCGAAAAATGAAATCTGGGAACTATTTATTATACGAGTCTGTTTTCGCTTACGGAATTTCGTTTTGAATTGTGCAAGAGACTTTTTCAGCGTCATTCACTTCGTTAAGACTGAAATTAAAGTTCGTCGAGCTCGTAAAACACTCTGTCTCAGGAATAATGTGGTATTGTCGTCAACATGAGGGCTGCAGAAGATCGAGGCTCGAGAGCCGCAGAGCACTGCAGGGTTGTACTTAAACTCGCAGTGGCCTCCGTACATATAGCCCTAGATTTATTTTCTTTTATTGGCAGAAGTAGCTTGGAAAGCCGCCAGTGATTGGCTGATTGAGCGATGTACCAAAAACTATTTATGATAGTATGGCCTGATCTGGAAACCGCTTTGGCTATGCTGCCGCTCTCGACGTCAAGACAGGTGTACTGCCGCCCTACTGCGCTGATAAACCGCTGTATCAGCGGTACTGTGCTTTGCTATTAACATATCAACTTATTCGCTTCCATTTTTCATTTGGCTGTCGAATTTATGTTATATATCAATGTAATCCTGATTTTTTCATTCCAAGCCATTCATATATAGTAGTACTTCAGACATATATAGGCTTTTGGCGACAGGACTTTGTTTTCTTAATTATTATTAAGATTATTAATTTACTAGACCACAATCACACAGGTTGACTAGTAAGAAAAATTACTCAGATAAATGCAAATTAATAATGATTTGCCATAGTCTCGAAAACAGACAATTGAAATTGAATAGAAAACGAAACAAAGTATAGATAAAGTATAACCCCGCCTAGTGGCGGCTGCGGAGAGGACAGTCAATCACTGACGGCTTTTAGATCTAAATCCATCAATGACAGACGATAAATCGACAATAAATAATAATAATTAATCGGTATCTTACAACTGACCGAACTCTAGTGAGTTTTGATAGAACAGCTCCCAGTCCTGCAAGCCCCTAGAATATTACTCTTAGCAACTGTTAATTAATACCTTGGTTGAGCTGCGTCCATGGATACTGTACGCATATTACGGTTCGTACGTACACCGAGTCTGTCAAATCTACGCAAACGGGTAGATCGTAGATCGTCGTGTGATAATTATAAAGACTTGCATGATATAAGTTTATTTATCAGCCGTTCTATTATATATTTTTCAGTATCAAAGTAAAGTCGCTGCATCGCCTCAGAAGTAACCTTCATAGTCAAAGTGATCAACATGAATTTGGTAAGCTTGGCGACGGGTATTTATCGAGTTCCGTGAAAAAATCATTCACGAACTTACGTGAATTAAATTTCGTTTAAAAAATATTTAGTATTCTACGTAGCATACTTCGGGTGAAATCGGTCTCCTCATTAAATTTCAATAGTAATTATTTCAGAAACAGATAAGTGAACGTAAATATGTGGTGCTCCTTTCTTACCTGAGTACTGCTAAAGCTCAATTAAAGACTAGCAATTAAAATGTGCTTAAATCGGCCCAAATTGGCTTTTATAAACGCATACAAATATTTATTAATTAAAATTCTCCTGATTCCCTTCAGCACTGTTGGCTGGTCGTCTGCGGCCTCATGATCACCGCGGACTCGCCTACGCGAGGTGAGAGCTTCTCTTGAAATCAACTCCTGTGATCAATAGGAATTCTATCAATTTTAAATTAAATTAATCAATTTAATTCTCAACCATTGAATAAGGCAAGGTAACTAATGTTGAAGATATTTATTTATTTTCCCATGTTAAACGATCCTTATTTTACGCAATATTCAACATTACATTATATGGTATTTGGTCATAAACGCTTGTTTGCTTCATAACAATTTTGTTTTCTTTAGTACGTATATCAGCCTCTCACAAGCGTTCGTGTATATTTCAGTATCTGGGCGTGCATTCTTTGCCATCAACCTTGATCTGACGAAGGGAGGCATCATTGGTGGACTTCATAGAGCTTTCTTCGGTGAGCCTCCTACACCACCACCCCCAACGACAACTCCACCACCACCACCACTTCCAGCGCTGCCTCCCCCCGGATGGTTCCAATGGTTGGCTTTAGCAGCACAGAACCCATACTACCTTAACAATATACAGTATACGACGACTCAAGCTCCTACTACCATAACTCAACCACCAACAACCACAACTCAACCAACGACTACCACTACTCAATCAACAACAACAACTCAACGACCAACCATGACCCAGCCACCTCCAAGCCCATACCTGATGGCGGGTGGTCCCCTAGATGGAAAGCCAGAATTATGGAACCAATGGCTCGTTGAGGCTCCGGTACAGCCTTTGGGGCCGATGCCATCGCTATATAATAGTTTCTATCAGTTATCAATGGCAAATGGAAACCTGGGGAATAAGGTGGAAACAATTTACACGGATTATGGCATGCTAGGAGGTCCTACCGAACGCAAAATGAATCTTAAACTGGTGACGAACGGTAGTTTCATTCCACCAAGCTTTACGCCAAGTCCGAATTGGCGAAGTCTGTCTTGGAAGAAAAAATAATTCGAATTGTGTATGCCAAAATTCGGCATAATTAATGACTATATCACCTTGCTATATCAATTCTCAAAAATCAATTGTAAAATTTTCCAATTCATGATATGCAAGCATGCTTAGAATTCTCGAGTTTCTCTATTTCGAATAATGCACATTGCACACCCGATACCTAATAATAAATATTGAGCTGCTATCATCCGGAAACATGTGAGAGAGCAAGGCTATTCCTCAATAAAAATGAACAAGTTTTATTAGAAAATCTGAAACTGTAGTGCTTTGACTTTGTTTTTTAATTTTTAATTCAGAGAAACTAGTATGACTTTTAAACATGTGTTGGTAAATAATGAAATTACTGGGTAATTAATTTAATAATCCAATTTTGTGGGCACTTTTTGAACTTTTGTGGGTAATCCGGACCCATTTTACACCGGCTAATTGAGCGCGTATCAGAAGTACGTCCACTCTCAGCTTGTGCTGTGGGCAAGAATGCGAGTCAATATTTCGTCAATATGGATATTTATAATTTCGACACTTATTTTTCTGAGTGTCCCGCTCACTGAGTCCCGCTCTCACAGTGAAATTCGTAAACTACTCATCACTATTAATCATGGGGATGCGCCAAACTTGGGTTATCACAAACGAGTTTCGCAAAAGTTGTCAGCATTCACATTTTTAATTCCCCAAGTGAAATATTTTTCTTCCTCATTGTTCTTGTGAGAAGATTAGCATGACTCACAATTTATAAAACAGGTAGCTGAATAAATTTAAAGGAGTTGGGCATCGCTAAAACGTAAATGCGAACTGTAAAATCACTGAATAACTTGAGAGGCATTGGTGATGACGGAAGTATTAAGTTATCTATAGTTAAGTTGAATTAAATGTAGAGTTGAAGTACTTAATCAGGTAATTGATTGATGCTTGCTGATTAACCTGATATATTTATAAGCTTCGTTATTTGAATGGCAGTTCATTCGGAATATGCTCGGATTATGCGACATCATGATTTTGTCCTAATGAAAACATTTAATAAACTATTATTCAAGCTGGATTTTTTTCATGAACTCATTTCAAATCTAAGAAGGAAACTTATGAGTTTAAACGTATACATTTTCTGAATGTTCAAGTTTTCTTCCGGGTATTTAATAAGTCAAACGCATCAAGTGAAATAATGAACAAATAGTTCTTTCGCAACCAAATTGCTTTTCGATCATAATCTGAATCATACAGCTTGGTGTTAGGCTTCAGGACTTCCTTTTAATCTGAATTAGTTCGTCTTGCCTCCATCTCTGTGCAGCATTTACTGAGCGAAACTCATTAAAAATAATGAAACTAAATTTCCCTACGTAATCATTGCGAAATTTTTTACAGCCTCGTATTATCTAAATTCTAAACAGAGACCTGACTTTATGCAGCTCTGTAAAGCTTCCTCTTCTGAAAATAAGTTTTAGGCTTATCCAAAGTTTTTCTCTCAAACAGCTTTACTTATAAGTTGCAACTGGTATTGTGCAGCTTTAGTAACAACCACACCGGTTAACATAAGGATGAAGCATACATGTTATAGAGGATACACGTGAGAGGTTATACGCTGCCGATACTGCTTGTGAACATCTCCCCCCCATACCTGTCGCAAAAGTATTCATTCACCAGTTAGTCTTCAACTTTGCAATCCACGCTCACATTAATACGCCGGCTAAAACTGTCACCATGGCAACCACAAGCAGTCCTATGTTTACAGCCGTCGCCTTGAAGATCCTCAATATGTGGCGACAAAGGATCCTCCACCCAGACAGCTAATAAGAATTGAATTTAAAATTACAATGTACCACTCGGAGCCTCACCGATTTGTATCTCAACTTGGCTCATGACAGTGCAAATCAATTTAGTAGCAGCAGTACTTGTTGACCATACAGTTATCGCATTGATCCTATTTTGGACTGACTCCCTACATCACATTTTGCTACCAGAAGTAGTTGAAAATTTGACGTATAGAGTCTGCAGAACTCTATACGTCAACGATTACCAACGATTTGAGTGACATCTGCATGTAAAACAAATGACCAAGTAAATGAACGTAAATTTGAATATACAAATAACAAAGTCATGATAATGCTGAAGTAATAGTCCAAAGTTGTAAATTTGAATAGTGGAACGAACATACTACCAAATAACCTAGTCGTCACGTGTGCCGAGATCAGGAATAATTGACGTGCAAGATACAGCGGCTAATGAAGGGTTCCTAGAGTGTTGCCACTATAGGTGCATGAATATAAAATACACACAAAGAGAACTTAATAGGAAAGAAAAGAAAATAATTCCTGTTGTACAGGCCGGACAACGTTTCGATCATCGCATGCGACATTAGTCGATGCAGTTCGCGTTATTGTTCATATCCTCGTAGTTTAAATTGAAGAAAGGTGTAGCCCTGTAAAACAAACTATTTCTATAACTACGCGTGAACTTGAAAGTAATTGACTGCAGAAATATAACGTGTACGCTAAATAAGAAGTTATACCAATCAAAATAATTGTAGATTTCCCTGAGCTAAATTTATCCATATTTTCGACCGAGCAAACCTCTTCGAAGTTAGTTTCTATGTTTTAATTCAGTCATCTATATAAAATAAAAGCGAAAAATAATTTCCAAATATCTAGATGAACAAGATGTTCAAATCTCCCTAAAACTATTCATGGAGCCCCATTTTAATGAAGTACGTTATAATTAATAAAGCTCATATTGCAGGGAATCATTCATGCTACGATCGAGAAAGCTATTGAATCAACTGTAATCTTAACATTGCAGTCAAAAATAGATACCTATCAGGAAAGCGCCGTTGAATCAACTTTGTAATAAACGTTGTTTGGTTGAACATACATTGATTAAACGTTGTTTCAGCGTCACTTGCCTGGTAGTATAACAACGTACTTGGAGTAAAAAAATACTGCCAAGTTATGTGCCGTCAACGTAAAAGTGCATGGACGTTCACTCAGTCTCAGTGACATTCAGTACCGGATTAAAAAAATATAACTCAGTACTCACTGCAGTGAGTGACAGAGAGCGCATTTTCTCGTCGACGAAAACTTGAGGTCACGGACGGACAGACAGACAGACGGACATGGCGAGCACAACAGTGCATTTTTTTCCATAAATGAGAAAATGCGCTAAAAAGGGTTTACATTCATGGATACTCTTGCGAGAAATTTTTTTTAGGAATGTGGATAACGAGATTTTAAAAAATAACTGCAGATTACTTGTAATTTGTGAAATTCAATGTTGTGAGCAGGTGTTTTTAATGAATAACCAATTTTGAGTTTTGCATGTTTTCAAAAAATTCGGACGGTTTGAAAACAGAACAGTCACTGGTGCGTAGATATTGAAAGCCTCGCGTATCACTCCTTTCTTTTGCTAGACCAAATTCTGGCCGATTTTAGCAACGCTCAGACGCGCATTCCTTTTCTAGCGGGAACAAGGTTAGGTTTACGGAGGCAGTTTCATGGTCAAACAGAATGAAAATGAAATTTCACAAAACTGCTTCACATTTTATCAAGGGCTGCTTTTAGGCCATTGGAAAATGTTTGATATTCCATTCACGGTTCCTGCAGGTAATGAACTTTCGGGAATATTTTCTAGGAAATTGTTAGATGTGAAAAACGTTCGGTGCGAAAACGTTTCCAATTAGATGCGAAGACGTTGTGAAATTATTAGATGCGATTTTAGCATGCGAGTGCTCACTCTCTTGCTAATCACTAAACACTAAATTTGGGTACAATTTATTTTCTCAACAATCTCCTGCGAATAGAAGAGAAATATTGTTGAGTACATAATCTATGCCCACCATATATCTCCTGATAATATGGCATATTTCGAATATTGATGTAACATGAAATGTTCCATGATGTTGCATGAAAGTTATTACTGAAACGCTAAAACTGTCATGTGCACTGGACAAACTCCCATCGATTTCATTCGCACATTTTAACAATTTTTAGGTTTCCGTTGTTGGTGGTAATATATTGACAAGCAAAGGGCACGGCGCATGGAAATTAAAACAATATATTGCACTTTAATGGACGTCTTTGATTGTTCTCGCATGATTTTCATTTCATTATACTTGTTATCTTAGTCACGAACTCGGTATAAGAGTGTGCATCGAGTACACGTCTTGCCATAGCGTCATTAGGAAATAACGCAATCCTTAAATGGTTTGATTATCTTTCGAGAAAGTGAAGTTCAGAGTGAAAAACATTGACCTAAACCTATGCAATCGGGCACTGTAATTCCATGCTATAAGACAAGTCATTTGTGGCTTATTCACAGCACACACTAACTTCTAAATTACGTGCGATTTGCCATCATGATGCACTCCAGCGTTTAGTAATTTTATGTTATTTTTTTTTAAGATTATGGGTATCCCATGCGCAGATTTTATCGAACGTACAATTTTAAAGTTATAAACGAGTACCAGCTGTCAAATGATTTTCCTGTTGAATTTGATGTTGTCACTGCTGAGTAAGAGAACATTTGGTGTGCCTCAGGTGTTTGTCGACCTGAGCTCCGCAACAGCGATGAAAAGTCTCTACTCTTTTGCAACAAAATTTTGGCAAAATGATCGTTTGTCGATAATATACTAATCACACTGTTTTCCAAACGAGCTTTACTCGTTTGGGCAAGAACAAGAATTTACTCTGCATGCTGCTTGGTACATTTGCTTGGTACAACAACTTGTAAAACACGAGCAGAAAGGAAAATATGGAAGTTAAGCAAGTTTTTTTTTTACATTTATTTGATGCGTTCGTTTTTCCTACCTTTGATCTCTTCGTTTGGCATTGTACTAAATCTGAATGCTTTTGCTTCTTTCTCTATTAATCTCGAGTGAGAACAATTCCCGCATTCATTTCACATCGTTTTCATACTGCAATGCACCCCAAACTTTTTGTAACCGAGTACCACTTGCAGATCTTGTGCAGTTGTGGTGGACCACCAAGCCTACCAATTAATACTGCAAAAGAGTTTTGGTTATTGAAAAGTATGGGTTACATTTAAATTTTGAAGCTAATTATTAACGAATTAAAGGAAAGAACTGTTTCAATTTCACGGTTGCCTGTTGGTAGCAGGTGGGTGGCATATGACATCTGTAATAATATTTGCAAATAATCTTATGTTAAAAATATGCGACTGAAAGTCGTTTATGACCTGAGAAGTGTTCATGCACTACACGTGGTACGCATGCCGCTCTTTAATTGGGAACCACTGCTAATGGAAAACTTATCTCTCAGCTTTAGCTTCTTCCTCTGACAAATTTTCAGTTTCTCTTCAAATCCCACTTACCCAGTTCCTTTCTCCGATGAAGCCCCAGCTTTTATATTGCATGATTCTCTCTTCCTCTTCATATCCTCTAATTATTTCAATGAACATCAACGCGATGCCCTAAGTCAGCGCATCCACAAAACAAGCTTCAGCAGCCCGAGATGCCTCGCCCAGTTTCCTTTCTATAACGACGGGCATCTTACTGGTTCCCACTCACAATCGCTCCCAATTCTGAAGGTCGTTGCTCTATTGTATCATATATTTATAGAGCTCAACCTGCAGCCAAATGTCAGTTACGCTTAGCCCGTCTGCCGCAGAACATGGTCGGTGCATAGATCCATGCTTAAATTGCTTTCACTTTTTTTTCTCATATGAAATATTTAAACATCAAAACGACTAAAAAAATAATACTTTTTTTTCTGCAGGGTCACATTTTAAAAAGTGTTTGGCTGTGCGCTTTGCTGGCAGGCGTTACAGTTGCTTCAGGTAATATTTTTATATATAATTTATTTCTGGATGTTTTTCTATCGTAAATTGGATGTGATTAACTTTCTTGATTTATTGATATTGTGATAACTTTATAATAATTTTTTGTCCCAAAATATGAAGGTTTATCAGAATTTCCATTTCAAATATATTGGTTTTTCAGGAGGAGGCGCACATAAAGGCGTGTCAACTGGAAGCGGGAGTTCAATCGGTAGCTTCGTACGCCAAGGTCAAGGAGGAGATATCCATTCGGAGGACTTCGGTCAAGGCGCAGTTGGTGGAAATTTTGGAGGCAGTGATTCTGATGGATCGTTTGGTGGTGGCTTTATTAAAGGGGATGGAGGTGGCCTTGGTGGCAAAGGAGGTGATGTAGGTGGCTTAAGTGAGAGTGTAGGTAAAGAGGGTGTTAGTGCCTCCGGTGATGGTGCTGGTAAAGGAGATGCGGGAGGCTTCGGTGATGGTGTTGGTAAAGGGGGTGGTGGTGGTGGCATCGGTGATGGTGTTGGTAAAGGAGGTGGTGGTGGCATCGGTGATGGTGTTGGTAAAGGGGGAGTAGGTAGCGTCGGTGATGGTGCTGGTAAAGGAGATGAAGGTGGCAAAGAGGGAGGAGGTGGCTTCCATGATGGTGTTGGTGAAGGAGATGCAGGTGCCTTCGGAGATGTTGTTGCTGATAAAGAGGGTGTAGGAGGCTTCAGTGATGGTGTTGGTAAAGGAGGAGGAGGTGGCTTCCATGATGGTGTTGGTGAAGGAGATGCAGATGCCTTCGGAGATGGTGCTGATAAAGAGGGTGTAGGTGGCTTCGGTGATGGTGTTGGTAAAGGGGGAGGAGGTGGCTTCCATGATAGTGTTGGTAAAGGAGATGCAGGTGGCTTTGATGATGGTGTTGGTAAAGGAGGTGTAGGTAGCTTCGGTGGCGGTGTTGTTAAAGGGGGAGTAGGTGGCTTCGATGATGGTGTTGGTAAAGGAGATGCAGGTGGCTTTGGTGATGGTGCTGAGAAAGGTGGTGCAGGTGGCTTCGGTGATGGTCTTGGTAAAGGGGGTGTAGGGGGCTTCGGTGATGGTGTTGGTAAAGAGGGAGGAGGTGGCTTCGGTGATGGTGCTGATAAAGGTGGTGCAGGTGGCTTCGGTAATGGTGTTGGTAAAGAGGGAGGAGGTGGCTTCGGTGATGGTGCTGATAAAGGTGGTGCAGGTGGCTTCAGTGATGGTGTTGGTAAAGAGGGAGGAGGTGGCTTCGGTGATGGTGCTGATAAAGGTGGTGTAGGTGGCTTCGGTGATGGTGTTGGTAAAGGGGGTGTAGGTGGCTTCGGTGATGGTGCTGGTAAAGGGGTAGGAGGCGCCTTCAATGATGGTGTTGGTAAAGGAGATGCAGGTGGTCTTGGTGATGGTGTTGGTATAGGGGCTGAAGGTGGCTTCGATGACGGTGCTGATAAAGAGGGTGCAGGTGGCTTCGGTGACGGTGTTAGAAAAGAAGGAATAGGTGGCTTCGGTGATGTTGTTGGTACAGGAGATGCAGGTGTCTTCGGTGATGGTGTTGATAGAGGGGGTGTAGGTGGCTTCGGAAATGGTCCTGGTAAAGTGGGTGTAGGTGGCTTCGGTAATGATGTTAAAGGGGGTGTACATGGCTTCGGTGATGGTGTTGTGAAAGGAGATATAGGTGGCTTTGGTGGTGGTGGTGTTGACAAAGGGAGTGTAAGTGGCGCCGGTTATGGTGTTGGTAGAGGAGGTTTGGGGAATCTTGGTAATCGTGTTGGTAAAGGGGGTAGTAAAGGGGTTATCACCAAAGGAATAGGCGGTGAAATAACTAGCGCATTCGCAGGAGTAGGTAACGAGTTCAGCACTGTGGGCTTCATTCACGGCATTAGAGACTTCAGTGTTGGTGGAAATTTCTTTGGAGGAAGAAGTTTTGGTGGCAGTGCAGTTAACGGTGGTTTTGGGATCGGTGACACAACAGAATTTCGTGATGCAGCTGGCGGATTTGGTCATGTAGATGGAGGTAGTTTCTTGGGGCCAAAGATTCATTTAGGAGTGGGTGAAAGTATTCAAGGACTTGGATTTGGAGGAGGAGTCATCGGTGAAGGGTCTCGAGGAAGCTCTGGTTTAGGCTTCAATGGCGGCCAAGCATTTGTCGGCCAATCTAGTTTCTCTGGAGGACTTGGAGGAGTCGAACTAGGAGGAAGTTTTGACGATTCCGGGACCTTTGAAAGAGGTGCAGTAGGTGGATTTAGCAGACCCAGAGTTACTGGTGGATTTGAAGACATCGGCTTTTCTGATGGATTAGGAGGGCACACAGTTTCTAGTGGCTTGAGAGGACTAAGTGCTTCTGGTGGGCTTGGAGGAATTGGAGTAACGAGTGGATTTGGAAGACATGAAATCTCCGATGGATTTGGAGGACATGGAGTTGTCGGTGGATTTGGAAGAAATGGAATTTCTGGTGGATTTAGAGGAGATGGAGCTGTCGGTGGATTTGGAGGACTTAGAATTTCTAGCGGATTTGGAGACCTCGTAACGACCAGTGGATTTAGTCATGGAAGCTTTGATGGGTCTTCTACTGGACATGGAACCGGATCAAAACGAGGCCTTGAGATCGTTCGTGGAGTTCCGATTCGTCTGAATGGAGATGGTCTAGGTCACGACGGTCTTTTTAGACACGAGCTAGGAGCTAAGGATGGATTTGGCTTCTCCGCGAACTTTGGAGGTACAAGTGGATTTGGAGATAATGATTTCGAGATTCCTCAAGGACTTGGAGGAAACTTGGGAACACTGTCGGGACGATTTAGTAACAACTTTGGCGCTTTCTCTGGAAACTATCGCTGTGAGTTATCAATCTATGAAAATCAACCATAGAATTTTGTTGCAGTAGAAGTCAATCAATCTTTTTCTAATGAACTTTATCCAAACATTTCTTTGAATATAGGCAAATGAAATAATACTCGGTCATTGATTGGTCACGGGTGCAAAACATTTGAAACATAGAAACGTTCAGAAGCTTCCAAAGTTTCTGCAAACTTTCCGTGGCCAGTGCTTGGTACTTGAGTAAATAGGAAAATACGTTAATATTGAGAAACTAATTAGGTGACATATATTAGCAAATTAGTGATACTGGAAAATGAATTATATTGCAAATGAAAATTTTTAATTTTCATAAAACATTAATAATGGATGAAGCTCCATATTTTTCTCTGTTGCGTGAATAGCTTGAAGCTGGAAGAAGATTTTTTGTCAAGTCTAAACATTGAAGTTGATTACTTCTTTAAGACTCGTCTTATATATTTCATACTTCTACTTGCATTTCGAATTTGAACTCATGTATAACTCACTGTGTCTAAGAAGTTAACTAATTCATGTGTTATCCATGCTTTCTGCTTCGATGATATGTGAACTAGTGATGAAAACGTGCCATTCTTTTTTTTTCAGGAAACAATGTCGAGGTTGAGGTTACGAATCTACGAATGAAGATGTGTTGAATGTTACGAGAATGGACATCGAAATCAACGCTTTCTTATGGACCGTGATTGTTTTTCTGTTTTTATTTTATTTCCAAAATAAGGGAACTAGAGAAACTATCAAACGTTATATTTTGTATTTTTCTCAAGTTAACGATTCCGCAGTGGACATTAGGAAGAAAAGCTGAAAAGGTAATTATACCTGGACTGCAATTTAACTAGAATTTTGTTAGCAATTTAACCCTGCTTTTTGATATTATTTGCATAGATAAACGCTTGAATTTTTTTATCTACCGCCAGTTTAGATGTGTGAAATACCAGTGATTATTTTTCGGCTGAAAATCTCTTATTGTGAATCTCGATTATGGGTATGAAACTCGAAGTAAATTGCCCTTGTAAAGTCTATATTGTAAAAAGTCCAAGATCCACTCAAGTTTATTGTAAATATTCATGAATGCTTTTTTTCAACACGCAACCCAACATACGTCGCAGGTCAGATATGCCAAAGATATCACGGTAATCCAGTTTTTCACTACGTTTTTTTAACTTTAACCAACCGAACGGCCAACTCGTACGATGTACAAAGCTTTCTACTATTTGATAAAATATTTGTCCCACATCATACAATATGCATTTCAGCGGATACTATCGACACGAATCGGACGAAATGTATTTTAAAAATATTCTTGATTGAACATTGACTTGTCAGCCTAATTTCGTTCACATTGATGAGGACGATGAAATAAAAATTTAATATTATTTCTAAATAAACAAATTTCTTAGAAGGCTTCGTGAACTGATTTCAACTCGTTGCAATAAATAATGATACCGAACAGATGTCACGCTAGAGAAGCCTTATTTGTATTTTTTGATGCTGCACTCCGTTAGATGAACCTCCTCTTGATAAACCTCAGTAAAATCATTGGTCATTTAATAACAATCTTATACCTCGCTGCTTCTCATCGTAAATGATAGCAATCTCGGTGCAAGTATCAACAAATTAAACTGAAGATTTATTTCCCTCGTTTAACGGAATAAAATTCTGATCACAAGCATCGAAAAATTGTAACTTCGCATTAAGAAATATCAAATATGTCAGCAAAGGATGCTTAAAGTCCCAACCTAGCATTTTAGATGAGTCAGGCGGAAAGTCATGTATAAGCGACTGACGACTGACGAATAATCAACTGAATCATTAAACGACGCACCACTGGTCAATGCAATAAGGTAAAAATTAATGCATGAACTCGCATCGTATAGTTCGTATACAATTAAAAGTTTGCTAATTGTACGCATTTCCAATTATTTGCGATTACAGATACTCTCACTGTCTTCGCAAATGCATGTAATTTTAAAAGCTGAAATCTAAATTTAATATATTCATGAATATTTGTACGAGTATGTACGTGATCGTTTAATTACATTGTTATTCAAAATTTCAACTCTCCGCTGGTGAGCGTGCAAACGTGGCACGTCAGGCGCGAAAATTTTTCATTTCTGTCCCCATTCTTTTTGTTTCCAGATACCCGTCAGACATAAGAATGGGTATCAAATGATAATTTCAGAAGCCCGTCAACAACAATAAACGTCCCGGTGACCTGCAGACCGAAGCTGTGGTCCAAGTGCAAAAACAAATGGTGCGGCTGATAGCTTGGGAGTCGTTGTAAGAAGAGTTGTGAGAGGAACTGAAGGAAAGCGTAGCTTAGACTCAAGGTGGACGGTAAACTAGAGTCTACAGATTATATGCACATGTAGTATATAATTAAAACAAACAAATCTATACATATCTTCTCGCGAACCTTACTGAGATGTTTAACATAATATTTCAGTACTTCTGTTGTGGCCGTGAAAATGGAGGTGAAGAAAATGTGGTCTTGCTGAAATTCAGGTGTCAAAGGCAGTAAATGATCGAAAATTAATTATTGAAATATCCTTGATGGTTCGACAAAAACAATATCTTTTGTTAATAAATTTAATTCGTTAATACTGTAGAATCGAGTACTTATTTATGCCAACCCCAGCATCAACTTTCAGCCCTCTAACCGTCCAATTTCACGATCTTAGAACTTTACTAGCAACAATTAGACTTAGAAAAAATGAACGAATATAATAACAGCGATTAAGTTCTCATACTCATACTTGAAATGCTCTCATACTTACAGACATGCTCGTTGAATTTCAGGAACTACCATTTTATAATTAATATCGAAAATAAATAAGTATTCATGTTTTTTATTCTTTCAATTTATGCGAATTTTTAACATAAATTGATGTGCGTTTTCTGGTAATAGAGTGACATTATTATCTCCCTGATTAGAAATCACCAACATGAGTATATTGACATGAGTGCTATGACTTTCACTTCAGGTACAATTTCTTGGAGGCCGGAGATATGAAACTGTGAAACATGACATTGAAATTCATGATGTTACGAATACAAATGAATTGAAATGATGTGAGACGCTTATTTTCAGTACTTGTGCAGTTGCTAATTTTTCGAAGATTCTATGAAAGAGGTTTAATGGTAATACAAAATCATATTGGTTCTATTCAACAAATAATAAGATGATGCTAAATTATAAAATACCTAGCTCTTAAGAAAACATTGATGCATTTTTTACGAGCAGATTCCTTCTAGAAGAAATGAATTACGAGTAAGGCTGGAATTCCACTCAGAAGTGAAATCGAATTCCGTGTAACAGCTATATGGAATTCGGCGGTGGTAGGAACAATCCGCACTCAGAGCCACGCAGTACCCTAAGTTTGTTTAGCCAGCGATTACCTTTTGCATAGCAGCGTCAATCGACCACTTGTCGCTATATCTAACTTTTGATGTACGAGTGTTTGATATCTTGGATTACCGAGCTCAGGCCTGTTGGCGAAATCTATTGCCGAGTGAAGACTTCATTCTGTTCTGTGTCGACAACATTTCGACTGTTACCGAATCTTCAAAGTCCCCATCACCTTCGCCGTCTGTCATGGACTAGCTGTTACTTGCCCTGTTTCTAGAGTAGGACTGCCAAGCGTTCTTCAATGAATATGGTAACGTATATTGTTCTCGTTTAATAAAATGTTTCCCCTGATACAAAATGAAAGTAGGTACCTTCAAATAACTGTAAGAAAGGCATTGTAATATTAATTAATATCTAACGACTATTAGCAATACCTACATATCGTAAACACGGACGACAGACTGCGGCAACTTAGAACTGCTGAAGATAGTCGTAAAATTTACCGCTGCAGCTTGCGGGGGAAGAGCTATGTCTGACGGTTGGAGTATCAAGTCTCCCGTGTGAACGGTATTATTTGTTTCGTAGGGCATTTGAGACACGGCCAAGTGGTAGGCTGGAGGGAGAGTTTCCGAACTACCGTAGTGAGAAGGCACATAACTCTCGTGAGGCATAGACATCGAGCCAGCTAACGTGTAGTGGATGCAGCAGCACTCGTGATCACTCATTTCGCTTACGAGGTTAATTGCCAAATAACAGAAGATGGTTTTCGAAGCTCGACCTGATCAATCTTTTCAAGATTCACTCTAATTTTAAATTTGTTCAAAATTAATACGTTGTCATTTTGGTTTTGATCCATTCCAGCTCATTGTGCTGAGCGTGATGACGTTATAGGTATGCTTTGTAAACCCCAGCAACACATAAACATTTAAAGTTCACAAAATTATAACTTATCAAATGGAAGTAATTATTATCAGCTTGATGGTCTTATTTTCGTCAATTACCATGATAATATATTTAGGATTTTTTATTAAGGTCCATACATCAATGAAGTTATTATTCATCAGTGAGGAGACAGGATGTAGTTCATGCTTCTATGGTCAACTTGTCACTAAAACTGTCCCTTCATAGAACTGCTCAGCGTCTCATAAAGTCACGCTATGTGCCTAACAAAACACTTATAATGCAATTATTCAGCAACTGCAGCTACTTATCTTATCATGACTAGCAATTCTGCACTATCATCTATTTTTCAGGTTCTCTGGTGCTTGGTATCAGCGGGAGGGAATTTTTCAACGAGTGCTATGGACGAAATAATCGTAGATTAGAATTGTCATTCAAAGTCCACGTTAACGTTGATGCCGTCTCAATTTATAGATGCTTTACTCTCTAAACTTTACGACAGTCATCGTTCGATCTACAAACCTGATATCGTCGACCTTGAGACGTAGAATTACCTACCTAACAAATTAATCTTCAACTGCCTGTGTTGCGCTCACCATCTCATCTAATGACAATAAAATACAGGAATTTTACACGAGTTATCCTGATGATTGATGTGTCACAGGGTGATAGAGACTCGTAATACGGACGACATGAACATTTTCAGCCCATTTTTATATTGTAATTATATTTTCAGGAAAGCAAATTCAATTTTATATTGAATTTAGATTAAATGGCAAGAAAATATTCAAAGTAACGAGATAACACTTTCATCCTGCGCCCAACTAGCAAAGACTCGTGTGCAATGATAATTTTATAAACGACAGAAATTGAACCCTATGCTATAAATTTGCCAACATTGGTCGTGGTGCATTAAACAGAACATTAGCTTAGCAATATTTGATTATATATAGAATAGAATAGAAGTGTCGGCATTGAAGAAAGAGGCCCATGGCCTGTTGCCGATTCTCGAACTTTTCGTGACTTGATTCACAAGGGACCCGGCCTTTGGAACCCGATCTTTCCATAACTGACGATTGATTGAGATAGCTGCTGGACTTATTGCCTGGTCCGTAATTTGCTAGGCATTTTAAGACTGAACATATGCTCCTGCATAGCTTCGTCTAGTCTGTTCTTGAAGGCGTTCATACTCGGAGCGTAGGAGTCTTAAGGCCCGTTTCCACTATGAGACTCTACGAGACTGACAATTGAAAAACTGGCTTTTTCAGTCCGGACTGAGGCAGTCCGAACCATCGAGACTGGAGTGACGGGGAGTCAAGCGCTGTTCAATCTTTTACTGGACTTGCGTGACGGGCAAGTGGCAGTGTCGCTGTGACTTTCGTTCAAGGAGGTTGTGCGCTGGGCTGGCGCTCCAATAGACGCACCATTGCCTGCCTCTTTGCTTAACTGACCATGTCGCACGACGGATACTGGAGCAGAGATGTCACTGAAAGGCTTATCGATTTATATAGAGAGGCACCTTGCTTCTGGCAAGTAAAAAGCTCTTTTTAAAGAGACAGAATCTTGAGAATTAGAGGAAATAAGTAAAGAAATGGAAAAATTATATCCATCCACGAACATCGAAAAATGGAAATAATACATCCTAACTACTCATTGACCGATTTATCTGTTTATTGGCATAGATTCACTCGTCCGTCAATTAAAAAATCTTAATTATCTTATTGTACTTACAGTGTATGTATACTCAGTAAATAGTAAATAAACACATTAACCAATAATAGTAGCGCATAGTGACAACAGCTAGTAAAGCAAGAGCGGCAGCATAATCTATCTTCAAAGGCCAGCGAGTGCGGTAGCCCAGACGGTCAGTCTCAATCCCAGCACACGCGCGTAGTGGAAACGCGCACTCCAGTTTTCAGAATCAGTCCCGTAGTGGAAACGGGCCTTTACATAGACGCTGTTAATATTGCCGGTTCAGAATTTATATGAAATTTATTGGACAGTGAAGTGGGGTTTTGTTTCCTATATTGCCTGGGAGAATTAACGGAATATTCTGCTTCCCAGGTGGGAGGGACCTTTTCTGATGTGGCGTCAGCTTCTGGGACCCGACTATGTTCCTCTCGGACGGTTTTTCAAGGGTGTGAACCGTGAACGTGCACCGTTGGAAGAAGCCGACCGCCTCCAGTGTTTACCTGACGTGGGAGCCGACTTGTCCAGTCTGCCCCTTGGTTTCCAGTGCGCTCTGCATAGCCAAGCCACGAGGGCGTCTACCGTCGTACCTTATTGGAGCGCCTAGTGACGAGATTAACTAGAACCATGAAGTTTCTCGTGGGGGCGTGATCACCCTAGGCTTGCCTGGATCGAGACATCGTGTTCCGGTCCGGTGTCTGTGCCGCTTGGGGTCGTTCGTTAATGTATGAGGGCTACCCCTGAAAGATATACGCGGCTCTCGTGAAGTTGGTGCGTCTCGTGTTCCGTTTTGGTAAAGGTCATCAGTTTTTAGAATTGTCGGGTCGACTATTTGAATAAAGATGTTTTTAGCTTCAAGTAGCCAATGAAGTAGGTAACTAGTACTGATATTTGTGTCTAGGTTCTCGACGCGATTGAATAAAATTCGGGTTGAATTTTATTCTTGCGCTCTTAGCAGGTTTTATCGTATGCGTCCTCCCTCGTACCAGTAGCGCCTCCTGCCCAGGGACATTGAGCGTTTAGGCGGCTCTGTCGTAATTATTAATAGTTACCCGCTCTCCCGTAACACTGGGACCTTGTATATAAGCCATGAGTATACTTGTATGCTTCAATGAGGTCCCCACGAAGACGTCGATAACTGAGGCTTGGAAGCTTCATAATCTTTAATCTTTCCTCATAGGACTTGCCTCTCAAGCCCGGAACTATCCTTGTTGCGCGTCTTTCAACACTCTCTATTAATTTTTTGTTCTTTTCAAATTTCGGTGACCACACGACGTTTCCAAACTCTAGGTTCGGGCGCACGACAGCAACAAACAACTGCTTCATCGCTTCTGCATCTAGGAACTCAAAAGAGCGTCTGATCAGTCCAAGTCGTTTTTGGCTTTATTAACTTGACCTTCAATATGCTTAGAAAATTTTAACTCATTGTCGGTATTAACTTCTAAATCTTTTTCCATTGTCGACTTCGACATCATCACTCTGTTTTTGCAACCGTGTCTTCTCATACTGTTGTAATCTTGCTGTTCATTATTCTTGCCAAGGTGGATAACTTTACATTTGTCAGCGTTGAACCGCAGCTGCCACTTATCAGCCCAGTCAACCAGCCTGTCAAGATCACCTTGTAACTGTACTTTTTGCGACGTATTCTTCACTGTATTATAAATTTTTGT